GGTAGTGAGTAGATAAGAGGATGTGCGTAGAGTATCGTGAGGTGGTGCTATGGTCACATTGCATTCTGCAAGAGTCATTCTAGCAAGCGGCGATTGTGTTGCAAGATGTCAAGAGGAGGTCTCTGTCTGGAGGCGCAGGTCGTCATTGATGTGTGAGATTGTGCTGTGGGTATGCTTGTGGTGTGTTGGCTTTTCTGTTTGTTTTCCATTTCAGCTCTGTCCGTGTGACCCAGGTTCTCGCAATGGCATCCAAGTCAACGTGCATTGGTCGTGAAGGAAAAAAGGGTTGGATCCCTTTTTTGCCGGGGAGTGTCAATGGAGTTGAAGATTGAACGATCAATTCTTGGTTGTTTGCTCAAAATCAACTTCCCCGATTTTCGCGGAGGCATCAATACGACAGTCATCGTCTCATCGGTCGCTGTTCAGAAAGAAGAGTGAAACATCGTCAGAAGTAACAATGATTTATTATTGTAATATTTGTTTTCAGACCTTAGTTGCTTAGTTCGCTTATTCCTTTTATATGTTGGTGTAACAATACAGAAATATCAAACGGCAGATCGGTGTTTTGGTTTTTGCGTCCGTTATAACTAAGCGTTTCTGAGAAATCTTCTAAGAACAGCGTGGGCCCGAGCGTAGCGAGAGCTGGGCATTAACGGTTTATGAGACTTGGCTGACAACACGTATATGCAAACAGTACAAATAACCTCGCGGATCATGTCTTGGTGGAATTGTTTTGAAGAATTGGAGGACTTACACCAGTACGCCTGCAACCCTTCACAGGTTGACGATTGTAAGTTGTGGAATGTCCAGACACAAACAAGATTAACCAACAATTACATCAATTGGAACTCACACAATTATTTAACACAAACATATGTACAATCAACACATCAAATGTTGTGGATTCTGACACGACAAACTACCCTTGAAGAACCGTAGGACTTACAGCAGTACGCCTACATTCCTTCTCAGGTTGATGATCCAAGTGGAAGTCGTCCGGACACAAACAGAATTACCAACAGCTAGATGACAGATGATATCAATTCAGTATATACAATATGAACATATGTACAAGATCATACACCAAGCACATTGGACTGCTAACTGATGCGCTACCCTTTGGAGAATTGTAGGACTTACAGCAGTACGCCTACAACCCTTCTCAGGTTGACGCCCTAGGTTGGAAAATCGTCGCAGAGTTCATTTGCTAACTTCCTTCTATCAGCTATATCCTCAAATCTGAACGGCAACACACCCATGTCATTGTATCGTAGAATATAGATGACGAACAAACACACGACATATCTCATCAGCCAAGTGTAGAAACAGAGTAATTTACACCAAAGATAATAACATTCAAATAGTAACTTGAAACTAGAAATGCCTTTATTCGTGCAAGTCAATTTAACAATAACTCTCTCCTTTACACTTGGCTTATCCACACTAAACTGACCATTGATATTCGTCCTTTCAAACGAACTTATATTACCATAGTGATTGCAGAAGATACTAGAGTTGATGGGCATCTGTTTCATTGTGGATGAAAACACCAACGATGACTGAGTGACACAAGGTGATGAAAATAGCGGTGGATCAGAAGCTGTTCTTTTTCGGCTTTCAGATAGTTGTCCAACTGCAAGATTACCACCACTGCTGTCTTTCACTACTAGTTCGGGTTTAGCACTATCATCTGATGATAGGTGGGCTACATGCTGATCAATTACACTGACTGTCTCACAAGTATGCACACCTTCTGGAACTGCATCTGCGTTCAATTCTACTTCACGTTGTAGTTGTACAGAACCTTTATTTAACTTAGCAGTAGTAGGCATATCCCGCATCTCATAATGATCAACCAAAGACAAATCTGCACTATCATGATCATAACCACAAATATTTAATTTACCGTCAAGTTCATCATTTTCAAACTATTTGTTAACAGCAGTAGACAATTTTGGTTCCTCCTCACAAATCATTAAAGGTTTTATATCTTCACTCTGACTAGTTATACTTTGTAAACTTGTGGAGTCAGAACTGCACTCTGAAGCAGTAACTCTATTCTGTGACACTCTATTCAACAATGGCTTACCAGTTGCAACTACAGACTTTTTCACAACACCGTTATCGTCACACAATTCGGAGTCAGACCTGGAGTTTACATTTAGCTTATCACTGAACTTGCTCACCGGTTCACAGTTCACTTCTGTATGCACCTCTTGCAAACGTGTCAAGCACAACCGTGTTTGTCTTGTATCTTGTAACTTATCTGTTGAGGATGTACTACGAAACCTGTTACACTCACTAGATCTATATGCATTACTAGACATCATGGAGCTTTCTCGATATCCGCCTCTCTTAGGCCTACTCGTCATCAATGATTGCATTTTGATCTCAGACTGCTCTATTCTAGGGGTGAGGTGTAATAGACTGGCGAACTTGCTCATAGATTGATTGACACTAGTATTTACCAGTTTCAGGATATCATCAAACTTTGGCTCGATACCCTCATCCTCCATACGGGAGCTTATCTTCACCCACTTCCTTTGCAGTCGAGTAGGTAGGCGTCTTGCTATTACTTCTAGTATAAAACTCGAGTTGAGGTCACTCATGCGATTCATCGAAATCATTGCATTCTTGTAAATCAGCAAATTATCTAAAAACTCAGTGAGTGCCTGGGAGTCATCCTGTAATTGACCACCATTACCCTTAACAGCCTCGAATAATTTCCCTGCAATCATCGAAGGTCTTCCAAACCTTTGACGTAATATGCTCATAGCCTCGTAGTAGCCCTCTTTTGGCTTCATAAACTTACAGCACTGTATAGCTCTTGAAGCATCTCCAGTGCAATATCTCATCAAATACATTAACTTCAATTCATCATTTAATAAAATACCACTCAACATGATCTCAAACTCCTTTACAAATTGTAAATAATCGGCCGGGTTTCCATCAAAACATCGTGGTTCAAATTTAGGGAGTTTGATGTTCCTATTATCCCTGAACGGCGAAACAGTAACATCAACCATGTCATACTTAACATCAGACACATCGTTACAATTAACAGACAAGTCACCATGACTTACTTTCCTGTTTGCATCCAAGACATTCTGTCCCTTCTTTGACCCAGGCATTGTTGAACTTGAACCAATTCCAAAAACGTTCCAGATATTGCTTGTTCAAAGAGGACTTGACCGGCACCAGGAAAATGAACGGCGACTATCCAAACTTTCACCAACTGTCTGAATCCGCCAGATCTGTTTCTATCGTCAGAAACTGTCAGCCAAGTCTCATAAACCGTTAATGCCCAGCTCTCGCTACGCTCGGGCCCACGCTGTTCTTAGAGGATTTCTCAGAAACGCTTAGTTATAACGGACGCAAAAACCAAAACACCGATCTGCCGTTTGATATTTCTGTATTGTTACACCAACATATAAAAGGAATAAGCGAACTAAGCAAACTAAGGTTTCTGACGATGTTTCACTCTTCTTTCTGAACAGCGACCGATGAGACGATGACTGTCGTATTGATGCCTCCGCGAAAATTGGGGAAGTTGGTTTTTGAGCAAACAACCATGAATTGATCGTTCAATCTTCAACTCCATTGACACCCACTCCTCTTGAGTTGTATTTCAGGTCAAGAAGCTGTCAATGTAAGTGAACCTTGAAAACAAACCATGGTGTTCCTGTCCTAATTACTGACACAAACGTTTGAAAAAGCAAGAAATGTTACGCGGTACTCTCTCAACTTGGTTACTTTGTATTGCTGTTTCATGTAGCGTTAGCACTAGAAGTGTCTTCGGGAAGTAAAACATGTTTTAAGGACACCAAAAAAAATCTTGTGTTGAGATATTTGACCGAAATTGATATAAAGATTTTATCGGGACTAGGTGGCTGCAAGTATTTTCAAGGAGATGGGGGCCCGCATCTTCGTGTCTCTCACTTGAAGGATTGAAGTAACGAACAAAGGCAACTTCAACAAATTTTAGTCCTGTCGGTCTACTAAGCCATAAGCTGATATTTTAGAAGCATAATTAGGAAGGCTATGATGCCTGGTATAGTATACTGCGTGCATGACAGAATTAGCATACGAACCATTTGTAGCATTTCGGAGGAAGAGAAATACTCTGTAGAAACCTTACCACTGTAAGATAGTGCTAAAAACCCTTCAGCTCATACTGTCATGTTAGCGGGCCTCTCGGTTGGTACCGTAGAAACGGGAGACCATATTTGCCCCTTCCCTTCTGCTTCAACAGAAAGTAGCTCGAGGAGTCACAATATGCCTCAACTCAAAAATGCCATAGCCGAAATGAGCTTTAATGAATTCGGAAAAAATACATGGGGCCTCTGCTAAGATCAAGAATGAGATATTTACTGCATCTAGGATACTAAGTATAAGCAACAAGCCGTTGTTGAATTGCGTGGTGTCCCTGGGGTAAGTGGTTTATCATTACTATCTGCTAATTTCCAAGAATCTATGGGAGACGTGATCAGTCTCTACGACACAGATAAACAAATGTGACGGCAGCTAGTTTTCTCGTAAGGAATCCTGACTGTATCTCATCTAAATTCATTCCATACGGTAATGCATAAGAATAAATTGTTGGTGGAAAAGGATAAGAACAGCACTGAATAATTATATAAGTAACCAAAATGTCCTAAATTTGAATCCGAAGGTTTCTTATCCTCAAAAATATCAGCCCTACGAATTCGTAGCTACCCCTCATTCCGAACAGGTTTTAGAACGCCCATTCATTCCTCCACGAATGCCATTGGTACAAGCAAGCCTACTGTGAACTGAACTGGTGGTTCACTGTCTGGAGAAGTGGAGGCTTAATAAGAGAAATGTCTCACAGCCTACTTGTTCATTTCAAGCAGTCACTTTAATCTAACCGTAAACTCTTCATCAGTTTAACTGCAAAGTCTTAGGTCGTGATATTGTTTCGCATATCAAGTTGATGGCAGTTATTTTGTGTTTTAGTACGGCCATGTATTAGGGGCGCCAAGCCCGAAAGAATGAAACCCAGTGAAAAGTCTGGGAGTCACATTAGTACCGCAGTCAGGACTTCCAGGTCATCCGTTAAGCGAAATGATCTCGACTCAAGAAAGAAGGTAGATTTTTTGATGCTACTGATGTCCGTTTCTAGGAGGATGAAGAGCATACACAGCAGGTGTTTGAAGAGTTTGTTGCCACTTTTGAGGAACCGTCGAAAAGTCGGGCATGGGTTAAAGGTGGCATTGTTAACCCATCATCAGGTATTTGTAGTGAAAATGTATCCATTTACATGTTTACAGGCTCTTCAGAGGACTCAAAGGGAACCAGTCGTATATACAGACCCGTTTCTAGACTAGACTTGAAACCCAAGACTGAAGAACAGAACGTGGCCGATAAGAAGTCAGCTGAAAAGCCAGTATGCAAAAATTCGAGTTTAACTTCCTTTCCAGCCTGCGCTTGGGAAAAAGAAAGGCCAAGAACAAAAGAAATCCAAGCTGGAACAATTTAAAGAAGAGCTTAAATTGTATGTTCGGATAACAGCTTTATTTGATATACAAGCAGGATTCAGCAGCAAAGAGAACAAAGACATGCTATGAGACAAGGAAGGAATCAGTTGTCCACACAGTCTGAGCTAGACCTTTCGGAAGTTGGAGCTCGTGGTCGCGATTATCGTAGAGGTTCTTCAAATTCTCAATGTGGGGACTCGAGCATGAGTTCTCATAGTAACAACGCGCCTCCAAGCTTTTACTCAAGGCGAAATCAAAATGATCGTCATGATGGTAAGCTGTAATCTAATACTTAATGAAATCTCACAGTCGATTACCCATATGACTACGATGGTGATAGGACAACTACTAATCTTTTTCTTGGAAATCTAAACCCTAAGGTAAGATCAGGAGTTATAAACTACCTTACATCTAGATGACGGAGCAACAGCTGTGCGAAGCATTTGGTCGTTATGGCCCTTTGGCTAGTGTGAAAATTATGTGGCCCCGAACAGAGGAGGAACGTTCAAGAGGTCGTAACTGCGGATTTGTTGCCTTTATGAATCGAAAAGATGGTGAAAGGGCTCTTGATAATATAAGAGGTAAAGTGATGAAAATAAAATTAGGTCATACTTTTTGCAGTGTTAGTGTCCCTGTTTTTCTGTCCATCGTCCTTAATTGCTTTATAGTGAGTGTTCATAGGATGCATCACAAACCTGTTCCAATGACTTGCACCATCGTGAATTTAATTCTGTGCTAAGCAGTCTCGTAGGTCACTGTATGTTTAATTTACGCCACCTTGGATTAATGCCTGATAGTTTGTTGGAAGTGTTAACCCTCACGTGTTTGGAACCACTGAGCCTTTCCTATGTGTAGCGGTTTTCCAATCAACATCTCGACAAACCTTTTGTCTGGGCCACCTAAACCATTGTTGCTTTGAATGGATTGCTTTAAAATTCAGTTTTTTTCACATCGCAACTCGATGACAAAGAAATCAGTATCACTGCCAGTTTCTGACTTTGGAGTAGTATGTTTGCGTAAATTCGCAATGATTATGGGAATTATTTATTTATAAAGCCCAAGTTTATGGCGTTAAGTTTGACTTATATCTCACCTAGTTTCCAGTGATTTTGTAGTTTATTCTACCAAACGTATTGATTATTAATCCATCTTACTTTAAGTAATGCTTGGCATTATTGGATTACTGTTAGCCAATGAAGTTCCAAGCAAGTTGGTACGTTCATGAACCGGCACTTAGTTGGATGGTAACGCATCCTTGGATGAACCGTGCTTATAACCGGTTTTGTAAAGGCGGAAATGTCGATGTGTCTAGTGATCTTGAATCTACAATACTCGAAAAACAACATAATGTCGCATCTAGTCTTACCTAATTTTCGTAGGATTCTTCATTTTATGAGCTAGCGTGAGTAGATCCACTTTCGTTCAATCTGTACATCCGTGTTTCGTTTTTCAGGGAAAGAACTTATGGGTTTTGAAATGAAACTGGGGTGGGGGAAAAGTGTCCCAATACCCTTGTATCCTGTGTACATTCCTCCTGCACTGCTCGAGTTGGTCAAACCTCCTCCTCCAAGTGGACTTCCGTTTAATGCCCAACCAAGGGACTGGTTAAAGTCATTTCGTTTGGCAATTAAAGAGCGTGCCAAACTTGTGACTGATGGTGCGGATAGTGATAGCGCACCACCACCACCAGCTCCAGATAGGAAGCCATATGACGTCAACAAAATGTCAGATGAAGAACTTACTGAGGTAGGTGACGTCTAATACCCTTGAAAGGTTTTCAGATGACAAAAGTGGATCGGTAATATCTTTCTATCTTATTTAATAAATTATTTAAATTTCACAATTGAAGAGCTCATCTAATCATAGATGTATCGTTTAAAGGCTACAAGAACTACACTTTCCCATCATTAAAGGTCAATAATTAAAATATTGCGAATAAATAATTCCCTAAGAACATATTCCATCAGAACTGAGTACACTACCAGTGCTGCGTGCTGCTGAAAATACGCGAATAGAATGAAGTTAAACTGACCGAGTGTCGACAATTACTGTCCATTTGGACACGATGAAACATGTATTGCAGGTAGCTGCAGTGTCTTCGTAGGATTTCTTGAAGCCGATGATAGATATGGGAGTTACTACAAATTAATTCCGTAAACTGTTCCACTTCCTTCCGCTACTCTTGAGTTTCCCTTCAGCACCAGTGAGTGTTTTCATAAGCATAACATAGTGATGCTTATCAGACTAGCCGGATGATTTGTCTCTGGTAGTGGAGATAGTGATCCATAAATACTGGTTCTACGGTTGACTAAAATCTTTTATGACAGCTGCAAACGGTGTTGTGTCGAGTACATCACCTTACTCAAAACTTTTTATTATCAATACGTTGAAAAGTAACCCTTTCTTCATCTTGTTTGGTTTTACGGGAATGCATTGCCTTACGGTTTCCATCCGAGTTCACAGAAAAGATCTTTAAGTTGGTTTGGAGACAGTTACAGAAGGAGGAGTTAGTGTGTGCTGTATTGCTGTACAACTTTCCACATTCGAGCCTAATAAGGATGGCGACAAAGGAATGAAAGCCATGCTATCGAAGACCGAGAGAATAAGAAAAATGACTTAAGTTGAAGGGCAATAAGAATGCACCCGCATCCCTGCAATAAATTTGGAGTTGTATCACTTCAGACCTCCACTCATAGACTTCAGTTGTTACGTGTATTCCACATTGCACAATTATCTACTCAGTTTAAATCAGTTATAGTTTGGTGCCATGCTTTTGGTCCACTCACTCTTCGTTTACCACCAGCGTAGTAGGTTGTAAACAGTGGTGGGTCAACATATGTAACTTCCAAAGTCAGTCTTCTAAACTCAGGAATCATCGTATTTATCTGATAAGGATATTTTAGGTTCTTCACTGTTCAAAACAAATTGTTGCATTAAGACATATCCGTGCTAACCTGTATCTGATGATGTGAGGGCTGAGTGGCCAGTCATCTCGTATACCTGGGAAATCAAATCAGCCTCTAAATAGTGTCACGGAATTTGTGATTTTTGGTTCCAAGGTTCTAACTCAAGGAAGCTGCAATTCGCTTGTGTTCGGTATACGGCTTTACAAAATAGTCAACATTGGTGAACAAGGTCAGGTATTTTAAGGTTTCTCTGTGAGCGGTAGCGTAGCTAGATTATATAGTATTACGTCTACTGTCATCAACCAAGATAACTGATGCTTACAACAAATGCATAAAGACATAAACTGCTAGACATTTCTTAGTTGAATTCAGTGTTTGCTAGTATTTACTGTCATAGCTTTGATTTCTCCACGGAATTTATTTTGAAAATACAAGCTCGCTTATACTAAGCTGTAGTGCTGCAGATAAATATTCTGTACTGAAGGCACTTTAAAAAAATCTTGAAATACGTTTACATTTTACGTTTTTTTGAAGTAGTTATATTGCAGCACATTTTTAGGAGAATGTGTCACAAACTCCATGTATGTCATTACGTACACATTTACAGTAGTGATAATGTTAATATTTATGTTCAACATTCTTAATCTCAACTTTCGTCGCACATGCACGCTTTCTGCCAATCTGAAGGTCCTTCGTGACGCAGTGGTTAAGGTCGTTATGCCAAGTGACAGGTAAGTGTTCATCAATAAATTGTTGTACTTTTATCCTAATCTTTTCCAAACTTCAGATCCATACTTGCTCTGATCCATCGTATGATTGAATTTGTCGTCCTCGAAGGTCCTCAGTTTGAGGCCGCAATTATGCACAGAGAAACTAACAATCCAATGTTTAAGTATGCTATTTTTAACATTCCCTCTTATTGCTAACACTTCAGATTTCTTTTTGATTATCAATCCTCGGAGCATGCTTATTACCGTTGGAAATTATGGTCTATTCTGCATGTAAGTTTAGGTACAACTGGTTTTTGGTTACGATATCTGTTAAGATTTTCACACACAGTAGATAGGTCGTGGGAATTGGCTGAGTAGTGAGAAATATTAAGATCGAAGAACTTGAATATCTTGTATTATTTTCTCTTTAACTGCGATTAAGGTATGTACGTTTTTTAGTAATCAGATAAATTTAAAGCGAACTTTCTGCCCGCGGATGTTAGGTTTCTGATTGGGATTAAATGTAAGGAGATTTATGGGGAAAATTTGTAAATTTTGTTTGTCTCATTGACAGGTTCCTTTTACTGAAAATAATTCATAAGCATAGTTCCTAGATTCTTATTCACTGTTCCTAACTGCTAATGAACAACTTGTGATTTAAACAACTTAAAAAAACTCCACTACGTCGTAGGAAAGCTCACTCAGTGGATGGTTACCCTTCTCAGTGATGAAAAAGGTAACTTTTGGTTTCCAACAATATGGCTGTGGGATTTCTCCCCGGCAGGGCTGAGCTTTGTGTGGTATTTTGTAAGTAACGACTGGTTGATGAGATCGCTCCATTTTGTATAGATATAGAGCATAGTTAGTGTAGAATTTTAGAAGACATGCGCTGTTTTCAAAGCAGTTTACTTTTCTGGAACAGTTCATAACCTATTCTATTCCGCCATTTAATGTCAGCAACTTTTTTAACTATGTGAATATATACTTTAGAGGTCATAACTTATAAAGTTTGCTTACGAAGTGCTAATCGAATAGACGAAGAATGATTCTGATTTTCCCCATATCCTTTACGCTCTAACTATATGGGTTCCGTTAGATAAATTTTAAATAGTCTTTGAGGTGAATTCATCTTGAATGATACCCACCTTTGCAGTTATTAAAGATATCGCCGCGTTGAAGTGTTTTGCATTATATATGTATATGTTAATTTTTTAAATGTCTTCATTATTTTTATAATCCATTATAAATGTATATTATCAAAGGGTGAAAGTGTGACGAATTGGCGTACAGATGAATTTCGGATGTTTGAAGGTGGTCCACTTTGGCGTCCGCCTCCTGTGAACTTGTTTTCAGGTGGCATGCCTGATGATCTTGTTGAAGAAGACGACTACCCTTACGCTCCAGGATATGTTCCGCCGCCTCAAAGTAGACGACGTGAATCAGAAGACTCGTGAGTGAAGATTACTGTTTTGCCTCGGTTTATCAGACTACTACATGTGGTCATCTCTCTTCATGTAGAATTTATCTGCGTTGAATTTAGTGGAAAATGGGTTTTCAGTTTGTGTATTTCCTAGTACTTTTGGTTAAAAGCTGTTGGCGTCGTTTATCATATTCTTTTAGGATAGTATTTATTTATTTCTCATCCTAAATACCAAACATGGTATTTCATTCCTATTACAGTTTATGTCATTTTTTAATGGAATTTTCAGTTTCACTATACTTATTTCTCGGTGAATTCCCACATTTAAACATACACTAAGGCAATGAGATGCACTACAAGTTAGCTGCGTATTTGCAATTATATATAGTTTTATCTACTAATGTTCGCCTAAACAGGAAGTGTATTCTAACTGGCTTTTAATGTAAGATTTTGTACAAAAGCACAACAGTTTAAGTTGCTATGACTCGGAGAAGCTCAAATGAAGCTAAAGAAGATAAACTTGATGCAACTATAGTGGATGACAAAGTACGGGAGAGAATAATTAGGTCTGGGAATCAGAAGAAGTCCCATCGGGTTGGTGTAAGTCACTGATTATCCCCATATACAAGAAGGGAGACAAGTCTTCCTGTGATAGTCACAGAGGAGTCAGCTTGACTAATATAGTATCTAAAGTCCTAGGCCCAATAATCATGCGTAGACTAAATGGTGCTCGGGAGGCACAAACATGAGAGAGCCAGGCAGGCTTTAGACCAGGAAGAGGGTGTATTGATCATATCTTCACCCTCCGACAGATTCTAGAATATACGCATTCCTACCGGCGTCCAACAGTCATTATATTTCTTGATCTAAAGGCGGAATTCGATTCTGTCGACCAAGAGGTTCTCTGGAGATGCTTGGCTGTAAAGGGAATTCCAAGAAAATATATTGCACTGATTAAGGGACTCTACTCGTACTCATACAGCCAGGTGAGGGCTTACGGCGAGTTGTCATCTGAACTGGTGACGACTAGTAGTGTCCGTCATGGATGCCCATTATCCCCTCTTCTATTCAACTTCATCATATATATACTAATGGGCTTAACCCTAAGTGACCTCAGCGACTCAGGGATTGACTTGCTACCAGGGAATAATCTCGTTGACTTAGAATATGCAGACGATATAGTCCTACTAGGCGAGGACGCTGACAAAATGCAGAGTCTTCTAAGCACCTTGAGCTGCAATCTACGAATGTTTGGCATGCTATTCGCTCCCGCCAAATGCAAGATGATGTTACAGGACTGGGCAACAGCGACTCCTAGTTTAAAAATAGGAAGTGAAGCTGTAGAGCACGTTGACCGCCTTACTTATTTGGGAAGTACCATCAGCCTCAACGGGTTGATCTCAGACGAAATCTCAGCACGAATACAAGGGGCTCGTTTCGCATTTGCCGGTTTACGCCGACTCTGGCGTAGACGAGATGTTCGACTATCGACCAAAGGGCAGGTGTACTGCTCATCAGTCCGCTCCGTCCTCCTTTATGGTTGTGAGACCTGGCCACTGAGAGTGGAAGACATGAAAAGACTAGCTGTCTTTGATCATAGGTGCCTGCGTTCTATCTCTCGTGTGAAGTGGCATAGTAAGGTGAGCAATATTGAGGTTAGGCGTCGAGTTCTAGGTAAGGAGGGGAAATTAATCGACGAAGTTGTGAAGTTACATCGACTGAGATGGTTAGGACATGTGTTACGTATGCCTAGTCATCTCCTTCCTCGACGAGCAATGTTAGCGGATATAGGGTCAGACTGGAAAAAAGCTAGCGGCGGTCAAACAAAAACTTTTCACCAATCAATGAAATCTACAACAGTTAGTCTAAGCTACGTAGGAAGGTGTAGACTTCCAGGCTGGGGTCCTCGGGACGGTAAAAATCTATGGTTGGAAACAACTGGTGACATGGCTCAAAATCGTTCTCAGTGGCGCAGATGCATCCACTCCCTGTGACTTATGATTTCCAATGAAACTGTTTTGTTCTTCGTTATTACTCCTCCTTTGTCTCACACCTCTGTTTACTGTCTCTATTATGCTTTTCTTGTACTTTCTTCTCTTGGTTTGTGTGCTACATGGAGTGTGGCGACTTGAACTTCCGCACATTTGTGCAAAGTTCTATGTCGAAAACAGACAGACAATTAGGTAAAGGTTAATGGCGATTTTAGGAATTCGTACAATAACTAGGAGTGAATACATCTCTGTTACAGATAGTTTGAAGTCATACATTAACTTTTTTACTTGAAATTATGACGTTCCAAAAATCTAATTACATTTCTGATCCATTAAATATTGACATGGAAATGTTCGACGTAAACTGTATGACTGGAAAAGTCCTTAATTCTCTTTACAACTAAATCAGCTAGAAATATATTGCACAGATGCAGCGCATGTTTAGTAGTACGATTGGCTGAAATAATGTTGAGGAGTGGTATTTGTTTTCTTTGGTGTGAGAATGTACCTTTCTTTCAACACAGCTATATTGGTTTGTATTTTCGGACTTTTGAAGGGACACTAGTTTCTAAGCAAATGTACTTGGTTCATCGTGGTTAGTTTTATAATTTGCCTAAAACAGCACATTTTTTAATCTCAGGTGATTCAGTCCTTTCAGTATTTAAAAATTTTTCATTTGATTATCCGAAAGTGTCTCGCTTAGGTTCTCTCTAGTTTCACACTTCTATTTTTTTTTAGACAAGAAGAGGTCCGTTTAGAAGCTGCCGCGGCGTCACGTCGTTGTGGTCTAACAGAAGCACAAAGGGGTCGCTTTACTCAAATGCTTGAGGATCTCGAACCTTCTCGTACTAAAATAGGAGAGGTTATGGTTTGGTGTTTAGAACACGCTGACTCAGCCTCTGATATTGCTTTGTGTTTAGTCGATTCTGTTGCTCCAAATGCGAATTTAACTTCAAGTCAGTCGGATAAAGAAACAACTCCAGCAGATGATAACTCTGTTTCTAACTCAAACTCTAATCGTGATTCGCCTGATCGAGAAAAGTCACAGTCAATGAACATAAATAAGTTGGTTGCCCGTTTATTTTTAACTTCCGACATACTGTACAATTCATCAGCCAAGGTTCCAAACGCTTCGTTTTTCAGAAAATGGTAAATTCAGCACATTTCCATGTATTGTATCTGTGGTATTTATATCTGCTATTTAGGGTGTTTGGTAGTAGATCGTATAGTCAAAAAATAAGCATCTAGTAAAAGAATTCAATGTATCGTGACTTTGAAGATTCAAATTGGTGTGGCATTTTTGCAACGTCTGTATTTTGTTTCACGCGACTGGTTTAGAAGCTAAGCAATTAACTTTCGATCAGTGGTTTATCGTTTCAAACCCTACTTCACTAATATTGGCCTATACTGTGTTTTAGTGACACAAATCCTCAAAGTATGTGTGGATACGTCTTCAGAAGTTAACGCGTGTATTGGGTAGTTTCTGTGGATTTACAGGACTGTCTAGTTTGTGAATTCACCACTGCTTCTTGAAATTAGTCTGAGTTGTGTTACCTGCAATCTTTTTCTTCAGTGCTCTACGACATTACTTTCCTATTTTTTTCGAAGTAATTCCGTAACTTGTTTACCAGGTGTCATAAATCTATCATTCCACTACTAAGCATACTTTTTGACAATCATTTTTCGAAAATTCTCATAAGGACATGGAAATTCAAAATAAGCGATTCAGCAAGGAGACTTTTCAAAGAATTTTATCACCAAATTATATCCCGTGAGGTGATTGAAACAAAGGTGTGAACACATAAAATACTAGTATGAAGTGAAATCAAGACGTTTGTGTTTATAACCATAGTTAACTGTCAAGTGACAAAACAAATGGAATACTTCATAGGATGTATGGATGTTGGAAGGGGTTATAAAATTATGGGATTAATAGGCGAATAAAGGCTTACATAGCATGGTGTAAAATTTAAAAACAGAATTTAACATTACAAAACATTTTTTGACTTAGAATGACAGGTGGGACGAGTGAAAGAATACCGGAAAATGTTCAAAGTGAGAATCATGATAGTAACAGTCGACGTGATAAAGGATATGCAAATTTGAATAAATAAAATGAAAAATAAGTAGAGACAAAGTATGACAAGGGGATTATCATACTTAAGCAAAGATGGACTAAGACTATGAGAGTTGGAGGGGTTGAGCAAACTTGTTCTGCATACAGACATCTGACTTTTCTATTACAATGACGAGTTAGGATACGTAATGATTTGGGAAAGTTATTGTTTGCGTTGTAGATGAACTCAAAGAGACTGTGGAGATAGAGTGGCTGGTGTCGGTCAGATGTTCAATGACTGAGTCTCATGTAGCTCCACTTTCACCTGTTCGCAACCGTGCAGTATAGTGTTCTTGAACCCTCTAAAACAAAACTCGAGTCGGACGACCGATATACCTAGCTCCTAGCGAGAAATTGAAATTGGAAACGCATATAGAGTTGGTCGACTGCAGGGTTTTGTCCCTCAGCTTACTGAACAGTAATGTTAAATTCTGTTTTTAAATTTTACACCATGCTATGTAAGCCTTTATTCGCCTATTAATCCCATGATTTTATAACCCCTTCCAACATCCATACATCCTATGAAGTATTCCATTTGTTTTGTCACTTGACAGTTAACTATGGTTATAAACACAAACGTCTTGATTTCACTTCATACTAGTATTTTATGTGTTCACACCTTTGTTTCAATCACCTCACGGGATATAATTTGGTGATAAAATTCTTTGAAAAGTCTCCTTGCTGAATCGCTTGTTTCGATTTTCTAGGGTAATTTCTTACTTAAAAGTGTTATATCTCATAGACTGTATTTGATAATCATTATTTGCCAATAAGTCGACTTTGTTATTGTGTTTTCTTTTCTGTCTAGTTTTGAAACTTGCCTACCAGACATGTTCAAAAACTTGAATTCTTATTATAAGAATGTTGAAAGAAAATTAAAGGCTGAACAGTTGAAGGTAAATTTTTTATCCTAGTTACTCATGAAATTGTAGCAAAAGGTGATGCTTTGCTTTCGTGCTTGGGAAGATTGGGCGGTATATCCAAATGAATTCCTTATCAAATTACAGAATATTTTCTTAGGACTTGTGTGCGAGGTGAGTTTATTCGTAATTTATCTGTTTTTATATGAAAGCTTTTGGTGATTGAAAGACCTGGTTTCCAAAATGTTAGAATTATGTATATATATAGTAACACTTCAGTCTTCACTACTTTTGGGGTAACTGGCATATTATCAGGCTCCATAACTCATGTTCCAACTGTTTTATTTGTTTCAAACCATCGATCCTTTGTGTCACACAGGCAGTTTTTGCCACTCAGTGACAGACTTCATGGGTTAGTGCCACTTTTTGATCCGATCACCCCTAACTCTTCCCAACTAATCAGATTCCAGCTACTTTCATTAGTACATTTATGATAGAATTAATAGTAATGATACTACTGATAATACGAAGAACAAAGTAATAGCAATATCTTTATTCTGAAATACACGTTCAAAAATGATACATGATATTTAGGATGCCCTCTTGCAAAGTATATACTCCCTGTTTAGGATTTTCAATTAATAGTCGCTAATGTACTGTATGAAGCACAATTATTCAACCCAAAGTACTCTAATAATCTGCGATCTGTTTCTACCATATTGGACAAATGCCTATGATCCAGGACGTATCGAAGTATGAACATATGGTCAATACACTTTCATCTGTCCCAAAAAGCTTCGTAGCTGTAATATGATCGTTTCTGCCCAACGCTGCTTAATCTGTGCAGGATCATAGAATCGTACATCATGTTGATCCACTTATGCTTATTACGAGACGATTTGTCCACTTTGTTATAAGCTGGCGATGATGACTTCAACTAGTCCACTGAGTGCTATTTCAGATTATTACACCTTATCTGGAATTTCAGTTATTTCTACTCCTTCGTCTACGTTCTTAGTGTAGCAAAGGGCTTCAGGCTCTGAAGTTTCAGGGATGGGAGGGGGGTTGTTAACCTCGCTCGCAAAGCTCCCACTTTTCTGCGTTTAGTATCCGCTAGTAAACCGGACGGAGCCTAGGGTTGCGTGTACTACAAATCGAGTCCAGACGTCTCGTGTAGTTGTCTATCAAAATCCTGGGTATCGTCTCAGTTAATTAACTTTTAAACACCTGGTGTTACGCCATAGGCTTATGATTATCATTATAAATCAGCAAGGAATTCTACAGTGTTGAATGTATAATCCTAGAAACTCACTTACTTACCATCAATAATCTTGTCATAGGCAGATGTTAAAGCAGCTTCGTTTGTAAATCTGTGCTCTAGACCTAGTATTATTCAGTCGGCGGCTTCAGGTTTGGGTGTGACCATCAATACAACCTGTTGGTTTACAAGTTTGTTGCACTGACTCACTTTCCTGCCTAGTAGATTTGTGAGTCTACTGTTCTAATCACTATACACAAAAATAATGACCATGGCAAAACGCCACTGACGCGAAGTGAGATAAAATAAAATAAAAATGACCATTGACGAGAGCGTTGTTACTGTCTTTAGTCAACAGCTGAAAGGTTTGATAGAAATTCTGCATATAACATGTTTTCAGTTGACCTTGAGCAATAAATTTCACTGATGAGTTAGAACAGTTAACTTATGGAGTTCATCCAAGTGAGGGGGGAAATACAAACATCACGGTACTGTGAATTAAGGTGATATGAAAAAATACATGTCCTAATAAAACCTGCGCACGATGAAGGCGATGAATATATGACTACTGCCTTCCTCAATGTGTGATAAAGCTAACATGGGATCAGCTTGGAAAAGAGCCAATCGTGGGCAAACGAAAACGTGGCATCAGTCAATGAAATCCACAAGAGTTAGTTCAAGCCAGTCAAGTAGGGTAGTGTTAACTTCCTGAATGATTGAGGTCCTATGGATGGGAAAACCCAATGACTGGAGACAATTGGTGATATGCCTTAATATCGTTCTTAATGGGGGAGATGCATCCACTCTTTGTAACTTATCATATCCAATAAGACTGTTGTTCTTCCGTTTTACTACTCTTTTTGCCTCACACTTCTGTGTATTATGTCTCTTTTGAATCTCTCTTGACTGTGTTTTCTTGGTTTGTGTGCTACAAGAAGGGAGTGTGACAACTCGAAGTGCTGCACATCGGTGCAAAGTTCAGTACTTGAAATCAGTCAGTCAGCTGTATATATCAAATAAAAGTGAATTTGAATTGTGATTTATTTTTTATAGCTCATTCCTACTATATTTCACTTGCATCCCTCAAGGTTTGTAACTAGGTTGGAATTCTAGCGTCATTCTTGAATTCATTATTTTTTAGGCTGTGGATGACGAGGCTGATCTGGCAGGTGTTCCACTGAATTTAGAGGAGGATGAGCACACTGAAGGCTGCATCAAAAAAGTGGGGTTTTTGAATTCAGATGTTGAAGTTCTGGAAAGTCAGCCATTAGTACAGTATGACGGAGATCCTCTAGATGTTGATGGAAGCCCTCTAGATAATGAGGATGCATCTCCATCACCAGTACGGTAAGTTGTCACAGCGTATGTGTAATCTTTGAGATGCTTTTATGGATGTCTTCCATGGTTTCAATGGCTCTTCTTATTTTTCTCTTGATTTTTATTATTTGGATTTTGATAAGTTGTCTTTATTATTATTATTGCTCTCTTGGGTTCCTAGTGGAACATAATACTTCAACTGCACGTCTCCATTTGCTTCTGTCTTCTGCTGTACTCTTCGCCTGCATCCATGTTAATCCATATTCTTCCAACTCCTCTTCACACGATCTCCTCCATGTCACCCTTGGACGTCCCACACGCCTCTTCCCTTTCGGGTTCCACTCGAGGGCTTGACGCGCGATGTCACCCAGCGGTCTCCTCAGCGAGTGTCCGATCCATCTCCACTTTCTCCTGCATATTTGTTGGGCGATTGGTTCTTGCATTGTTTGTTCCCATAAATTCCTTGTTGGTGATTCTTTCCGGCCATCTGATCTTCAGCATAGAGCGAAGACAGTTGTTAATAAAGGTCTGCAGCCTTTTGGAAATATTCTTTGTGACCCGCCAAGTTTCTGATCCGTATAGAAGAACTAACTGACTTTACGTTTGTATTGAAAATCCGAGTTTTGTTGGTGATGCTGAGTGACGTCGATTTCCAGATTGATTTCAGGCTGATGAATGTGTTTCTCGCCTTCCCGATGATTCTCGAATTGACATCCTCGTCCGCTCCTCCTGTAGTTGAGACAATGCTCCCTAGATAAGTGAATGAAGTAACCTCTTTCAAATCCCTCCCGTTGATGGTGATTGACGTTGGATGCTGTTGCTGTTGTTGGTTGGTTATTTTCATAATCTCCGTCTTGTCTATGTTTACCTGGAGTCCTGTCTTTGCTGCTTCTTCGACCAGTTTGTCGGTTTTCGATTGAAAGTCTTCGATTTTGTGTGTGTGACATCAAACATAAATCATCCACGCTCGAAATCCAGGTCTTCTAGGTTCTTCACGTCGGTCCAGGATATTCCTGTCTTCTCGTTTCCCACTGTCTGACGCGTGATCCAGTCCACCACAATTAGGAATATCATTGGTGATAGTAAGCACCCTTGTCTGATACCTGTGTTTACTCCAAACGCCTCGCTGAGTCTTCTGTTGTGGATCACTTGACATGTGCCGTTGTCGTACAGCTGTTGAATAAGGTTGGTGAATATTTGGGGTACGCCATAGTACTCAAGTAATTTCCAAATTACTTCACGATCAACGCTGTCGAAGGCCTTCTCAAAGTCTATAAAGTTGAGGTAGAGGTTTGATTGCCATTCCATGCTTTGTTCGATGATGATGCGTAGAGTTGCAATTTGGTCAGTACATGATATGTCTTTCCTGAAGCCCTCTTGTTCTCATCGGAGCTCTGCATCCAGTGCGTCCTCTAATCTCTCCAGGATGATGCGACTCAGGATTTTACTTGGCGTCGATAGAAGCATGATTCCTCGCCAGTTCTTGCAGAGTCCACTCCCTCGGTGTGCTAATGGTTGTCCTCTGGGTGGCCGGAAAAGATTACTGTCTCTCCAGTAGGTAGTTGGCACCTTCCAGTTCCGTTCCATCTGCTTTCGCAGATTCCCAACACTTCTATTCTGTACCTTCTCATTTCAGCGGCTATCTGGACAGCCTTTCCAGTTTCGTACATTGTACGAACATTCCAGGTACCCATCCTTACTTTTGCTTTCATCGAAGGGCACATCGGCTGACTGGCTTCCCGAAGGCTTTCACCAGCCTGCGTCATTTCACTCCCCCGATTCCAGCGAAAAGTAAGGCTATTGCTTATGTTTTTAGAATTTTTAATGTATTTATTCGTTAAAGTTTCTGTAGCGATTTGGTTGTTTTACTGGGGTGGAGTTGCTAGCACCACGCCCCAACCCTCCCTCTTTACCCGGGCTTGGGACCGGCGAGAAAACTAGTAAGCTAGTAGCTTAGCAAGCTAGTATCTGGCGAGGTTTAAGTTGTCTTTACGACAGTGTAAATTAATGGTTAGAAAGCAGCAAATAGTACTTAATTAGTGTAAGCGTTGAACTTGAGCACTGTGATAAAGTGTAATTCCATATAAGATAGGTTTATTTGGCACAACACACTGTGATACAGTATTAATAACTGGATAACGTTGATGTGAATAAAAGTACTAAATTGTGCTTGGAACGTCATCCAGCCGTCTTTTCAGGTAATTGTCTTACCACCTGCTTCAAAGACCGTTTCGCTGATACTGTTACGATGGAAGACGAACGAGTTGATAAAGGAATGTTTTCTTGCAATTTCGTATCCCTATATAGCGAAATCATGTAAGCCTTATCTTCAACGCACTATTTGTGATACTTCTAGCCTTCATGTTGTTTTCCTTTGTGTTCCTTTCACGTTTCCTATGTATCTCCGCAACGCTATATCATTTGCTTTCTCTGACATCAAGCCCATCTCCCTGCTATTTGATGTTTTTATGCGGTGAATGTCTCTTTATATACTAGCACTCGCCACAATACCATAACTCTTGCTCCCGGAGGTTCGGGTGATCTGGAACGGCTTCTGACTTTTGCCAGAGGCACCTGCTGATTTCATCATTCACGCACGTTTCGTTCACCGGGCTTCGTGAAACACTGATTTTGCGTATAAGCGTCTGGTGCATGATATTATACTCGCTGTCTACTGGAATGGACCTGCGCGTATCCAGAAGTAGCAAGGAATTCTCAGGAACCCAGTTATTTTTAGCAAATCATTCTTTTGAACCTCAAGTGGCCTTACTCACCATTTCTAAGACGTCTTGAGGGTGTAGCCAATGTTCATCTATATTATTTTGACGAGTTACTTGCTAGTTACCCTTGTGTTTAGTTCGGTCTGGTTCTTCGCATAATTAACAGGTGTTACCAGTTTACTCACATCGGCCTTTGGTGGACATCGTTTATGAACATAACCAAGTTGCAAGATGAACCTGGCACACGCTAAGGTGTAATCGGAGTCTAGGTATTTCATCCATAAGGAGGAGCGGTCTTGTATACATCCCCGTCATAGGAAACTGGTAGCATTCGGGTCTTCAGAAGACCCGACTGTGTGTTTAAGTCCCCCACCTAGCACTACCGTATCCCTCTAGCATACCCATTTCAGAAGCTCTCGCAGTTGATTGTAAAACCCATCCTTAATTGCATACGAGCTACATTCTGTCGGTGTATAGACAAGTGACAAATAGGTAGCGCCTGTGTCCAGTCGCCTCTTACTCTCATATACACTTCCAACTTCGTAGCACAGACGACTGCTAATGAGGAGCCACTCGTGTAATGCAGCTTCGGCTGTAGAGCTTAGTACGTTACCAACATCAACTACAGCGGACTCCAGTGCCGCAGAGTCTCAGGATAAGTGCAGGTGGTACACCATTTTCACTTCAAATGGAGAGAATACTCGAAGCAGTTAACTGCAGGTCTACGAAATCCGATAGACATCGGTAGCGAGGCTTCCTAATGTTTTGACTTAACCCATTTTGCGATTTACATCCATAAACGAAAATTGTAGTCAGCAAGTCTGAATGCGACTCGCAGTTTCAGAACATCCGTGTTAGATTCTTTTTGATACGTAGTTTAGGCTTCTATATGTGGATTCCGATGGCCGCAGTTATATGTGGGTGGATATTCGGAAATCTGACCATAAACAGGCCTGTTGTACTCTTTATGTAACTGGCTTTACACGAGTAGTCAACATGACAGATACACATAAAAGAGGCAAAATTCGGTGGTTTGCCTTATACTCCCGAACACAAAACAGAATTGGTTGAAAAGCGACCGTATACTTCAGCAGCATTCAATGCTCTTCTTTCTGCCTTCCTTGAGGGTTGTTTTATTATTTGACTAGTGTTATCACTGAAAACTGAAGTTGTAAGAAGTCGATTTTCTGTTCATCTTTGCTTCAGATTCATATTCTTGCCAATTATTTCCTTGTGTAACCCTTTTTTACTCATTAATGGTTCAGTAATATTAAGCTCTTCATTAAGATATTGATCAGAGTAGATTTCTCTTGTGGGCCAAACCCTGTATTAGATTGCGTTCGTTTTCAAAGGCACGAAGCTGAAAAAAATGAGCATACTGACGAGTTGATGTAAGTTTTCTGTAGGCACCTCTCATCGTGCCGTCCTCTTTTCTAGTCATAAGGACGTCTAGGAATGAAATACGTGAGTGACTTTCTGTCTCGATGGTAAAATTTATCACAGGATGAACATTTTTAAATTTGTCCATAATGTCCCTGGCGCCATCTTCATTTTTCATAACCAGAGTGTATCATTCATGTACCGACAGTAGAATTCTAGTCCATCAAATATATCTTACAAAGACTCATCTTCTAGTTCTGCGAGGAAAATGTCGGCTAGAATGGGTTCTAGTGGTGACCTCATTGCCACACCATCTAATTTGTCCGTATAGTTCATTACTAAATAAGAAGTAAACATTCATTATGCATTTAAAAAGAAGCTTTTATAAAAAAGTGGCACACCATATAATTTGGATGTGAACGTACCAGTGGGTTTCAGTTATGCATACAGACTTTGTGTTTCGGCCTTCTCCATGGTTCTACTAGCTGTTTCTCAATCTTTTCAACCGAATCAAGGGATGAGGTATTTTGGAACTTTAGATGATCATTACGAATGGTTTTCACCTTCGCGAAGTAATCTGTTTTGTTCACAATTGCCACTCTTGAACCCTTATCAGGTTTTGTTATTACTGTTATCGTTTCGTCGAAGATTATTTAGGTATTCCCTGTGTTTTGGTCGAAATATTATCCCAATAGCGTTTACTATAATTATAATCATAGACACAATCTATCAAAGTTGATCTAAATCCTTGTAAGGCCTCATCTGCAATGTGCAACAAGTTTTCCATTCGAGTGTAGATGCTTTCGAACTGAATTTGCATATCCAATTTTACTAATTCGAACATGACTGTCACAAATTTAGGGCCAAGGGTTAGTACCTGATAATCCGCTTAATCAAGGACCACACCCGAAGAAATATGAACATAACGACTAGGGATTCTGGGTAAATTTTACTTCAGGTGTTTTGTTTTCCAGATTTTCAACAGTTTGGTGTTCGTTTCTGTTTTCTTACTCGCAACTTCTTCCGCACAATTTATAAAAAGTTCCTTTGAGTGCTCTTGAAGAGAGTTCGGATACCGATTTATTTCTATGCACTGATGGGTAAGGTCTACAGAAGTCTGCTTAATTGAGCCTTTCACCTAGCGTTTTCAGTTTCATCAGTGGCTTCGGTGGCACAGTGGTTAGGACTCTCGCCGACAATGCACATGGTCCGAGGTTCGATCCCCTGCCAACTCACACCTGATATCTACGGTGGGCCTACAAAATTTGGGCTACCGATATCCACGCTGAAAATTCCACACTTGTACCAAAAATACAGTGTGGAATCAAGACGTAATCAAAAATTAAAAAAAATAAACTATTTCTTTTTTTCAGATCGAAAACGTCTAAGTTTATTCCGAATGTAGTGGAAGATGAAGCGAAACCGACTGGAAATACTTCAAATCGTTTATTTGTCCCAAGTAAATGGGAAACTGTTGAAACTATTGAACCGGAGATAACTGCATCTACAAATATTTGGGAATCAGCATCCATTACTGAAACAGAGAATAACGAGTCCAATGATAACATTCAGTCTACTCCCAGTCGCCAACAAAAACAGACAAACGGTTTGAGTCTAGCTGCATCTTATGCCTCTGATGAAGCGGACGGAATCCCAATTGATACAAGCCGATGGAGTAATAATAGTCCTACGAATAAAGTGGATGATGATGTAGATGGAGAGTAAGCGTTACTATTTTTAATACTTGGTGATTTTTCATGCTATTGGTGTGCAATATATACGAATAATTTGTAATGTTCGAATTGAACATCAGTTTTAACTGGCTATAAATAAATAACATTCCATCATCTGTTTGATTACGAAGTGAAATTTCCAGTCTGAATTACTCTGGCGACTTATAATATCAATCTTCGACTCTAAATTTTCACTAGAATCAACCTTATGCGTCAGTTAAGTTTTACCAGTTAGCTCATTGTGTTTTCCGCTTGTTGCAGTTCTTTAGCAAGTTTTTCTTGAAGTAAATTTATAGAATCGTGATTAGGCGCATAATCTTTCGTAGTCGATTTTTTAAATATTTTATTAGCTGATAGCATAGTACTAACAAAATGCTAATAGTATTTTGTTGCACAACCAAAAATAATGGTTCATACTATGCGGATTTAAATTCATGGAAGTATTGCTGTTCTGTTTCAGTATTACGTGTAGTAGTCATTGTTTAGGAGATATTTTCACATGTAACCAGTTTGATTCTTTACATTCAATAAAACCTCTGATTTGTAAGTTTTTAATGTAGAACACTGATTAGTGATGCTTAATTTCTAGTTTACGTCTTCGAATTTCGATTGATGGTAAACCCAATTGATGAAGTGGCTGTAGGCATTGATTGTACTCTGTCGCGAGAATAAGTGTTATCTTTTTGTCTAATCTATTTGCACCCCACAAAAATATCAAAAACTGTTACCTTTCTGTTTTATACTTGGAAGTAGGAAAAGGATACAGTGTAGTTTATTTCCATCAGTAACAACTTGCTTATGCTGTATTATATTTTTAACTGTTCTGATTGTTGTTTTTGTATGTTAGGCCATTACAGGTTTGTGGGGGTCTTGTTGCGTATGATGATGAGGATGCCGCCAGTCCTGTTCCTAGTGAATCTAGTCTTTCACCTACCGTTCCTGTACAGGTTTCTCAAACAGTGTGTTCCTCCCTCACGTCTACTGTGACTCATGTAACTTCAGCACCTAGTACATCGTCAACGACTGTTTCGGAAGAGCGCCGTGCTATATTAAGGGAAGTTGAACTCAAGGTACTAAAGTACCAGGACGAGTTGGAGGCAAGTCGTAAAGGTGACAAGACGGTTACAGATGAAGCTATAAATAAAGTAAGTAAATTTCTTGGCACTTAAATTAATTATTGTATTTATCTTTTGCGTATTTTGAACTGGATTGAAAGACTAATTGTCGCTACCGTTGGTGAAACAATGTAGTACCATTTCGAATAATTTCTCTTATTTTTACTTTTAGAGAGCATATTTGATAGGTGTATCATTGATTTAGATCTATGAATCACAACTACCGAGTCAATGCCTCAAAATCAGCGTCGTGTAAAAAGTTTTAGTTAGCCAAGTAGTGTCATCAGTCTTTACACAGTAGGTATGGCTCATCACCAACTGTGTAAAAATGTTTATGGTTTTCGAGCATTTGTGTTCCTGTTCCTTTATATATATATATATATATATATATATATATATATATATATACAGCTGTCGGTACGAGACAAAAAGGTTAATTTAGAAAATATGTACCTTAATGTTAGTCTCTTAATATGTAGAACTTTATCTATGAATACACATTGAAGTTTTTCACTAACTTAGTAACTTGGAGCTTGTAAATTTAGAAGACAAAATGACAGAGAAGAAATATTCACTTCTCTGTTACATCCTCTTTTCCGTATTAAAATACTAAGTATATCAGAGTGGAGTAGACTAAAATCCTTTAAATTGTCATAATAAAGTCATTTCAAACGAAATAAACATTTATTCGAGGACATTGTATAACCATCATAAGGTTATTTTCATACACCTTACTTTCGACACTGACTTTGAGAAGTGTTTCAACTGTTAATTACCAACCTTAAGCATATTCAGGGTATCATAAAGTGGTATATATAGATAGTTTTTATTATGGAAACAACTAGCTGAACGAAAGTATTGATCATTTTTTCGATCTTGGTGTGAATGGGTTAAATCATATATAAAACCTAATTCCCGACCGAAATGGTTGCATTTGCCAATTTTCGGGTGAGTAATTTTATTATTATTTTATTATTTAAACGCAGAAAAAGCTTGGTACAATATGACACCAAGAAAGATGTGCCACACAAAATTTCATTTGTTGTGTGAGGGCTGAGATACTGCCCGGGCGCCCAGACCGAAGCAGGGACCACTCCCCGAGCCTTTGACTTGAAGTCTAATCCGCAAGGCAGCGGAGCAGCGTCAGGAGCTGCATTCTCATGGTTGCCGGTGACCCATATGGTCATTTGATCCGATTGGATTCTGGAGCCCATGTACCCCATGGTAACTGCTTTTAGTCTAATCGCTATCCAAACAACCTTCCTGACATGGTAGGACCTGCTGGGATATGAGTCCCAGGCATTTTAGCTTGTTGGGTCACTGCATTATTCAAGCCCGATCACCACGGCAAGGTAGCAATTGTCGGCCGGTCTGAGTAATTTCGGGCTAACGGGCAAGTATGTGAACCTGTAACCACACACAGAGCTGCATCTTTCGCTTCATTCGTCGAAAACTGATGTAGAGGAATAAACAAAACGACATCACCATGGAATGAAATGTGGTATATCTAAGTTTTTGAGAGCAGTAAGTGGGCTTTTAAAGACATCTAGCATGGAAAAGTTGATGATCTTGAAAGGTAACCTAAACCAAAACTAATGAACTAATTGACAAATTAATAAAAGGCTTTCATCGACAGACTTCCATTGGCTCAATTTACGATACACTGTTGTGTTTGGGCCACTCTGTCTCAGAGAGAGGAGTTGCATCAGTGGGAGGAAGGCAAGGTAATAGGGATGAAGATAAAGACAAAGATAAGTGAGGATTAGAGAGGTTTTGTGTGCATTTCGGATTGTGAGGGCGATTGTTACTTCCCGGCTGCCCACACCGTGGAAGTTGGTTGCGTGACCGCAGAGCACAGGGGACAACTGCTTGAGGCCGGTCACACGCGGCCTGTTTTTGTTCATTTTTTATTTTTTGGTGTGTCTCAGTAGCATACTTATCACTCCTGCCCTGTGACACGGCAGCAGGAAGCGCGGTCGTTGTTAATCCGGACCACGGCCGATCCGGCATGAAATTTTGTGAATTTGTTTGAATCATGGTATTGGATGGGGTAGCTGCTTTTTGTTTAACCGCTATCCAAACAACCTGCCTGGCATGGTAGAACCTCAAGAGACATAAGTCTCAGCCAGTATAGCTTGATTAGGTCATTGCGGTGTTCAAGCCCGACCACCACGTCAAGGTAGCAGCTTTCGGTCGGGTTGGGCCACTCTGGACGATTTCGAGCAATTATACCAATGATGATAGATATTGTTTAGGCATGAAGTAATTGAATTGTCCCATTAATAGTGCATTCATCCTTGTTCTGTTACTTATCTAAAATATATTGCATATAATGCAATCAAAATTCAAAAACAATTTTAACCAACCGTTTACTCAATAAAGAAAATAGTGCATATTTTTTCTAAGAAATTGCGAAATGTAAGTGATGTTTCTGTGTGTTGTGTGAACTTTCCGAATTAATGATTTGTTGTTTAGTTTTCCTAACCCCTGTCTTCACTGTTGCTCAAGCTTATATATTTTTTCACACTGTCACAATTCGTACTAATTCATACTTTTTTTGTAGCAAATTCAGCGGTACAGAGAGCGACTTCTGGAAAGCCTAATGGCAAATGAACATTCTTCCCATAAAAAGGAACATAAATCCGTTCATCGTAGCAAACCGAAGTCCTCCAAAAGCACCAAAGATAAAGGCGGTTTAACTCCACATCAGTCGAAATATCAGTCGAGAAGCCGTGACATGTCTTCCTCCCCTACACGAAGAGATTCGAGGGATCGGTCACCTCCGCGCTCTTTTCGCGATCGGGACCGAACTCGTCGACGACACATGTCGCCTTCTGGGAGTTCGGGCTTGGGTGATGGTAGTATTTATGGTAGTCCTGTTCGTATGGATTCACACAGTTTGAGTGAGCGTCGGAGAACTTCTGCAGGTGGTTGGGAGCCTGATTCTGCAGATGAGCTGAACTATTCAGCTCATGCGGATGACATGGAGGAAGGAGAAGCTAGTGAGGATAATGATGGAGTAGCATTGTCTTCAAGTCAATCTTATGGCATAACAGCATCTAAGAAAAGACGTCCTGTGCATAAATCGGTTAGTCGAGTTAACATTTGGTGATATTGTATGTCTCATTGGTTACATGGTTACTGTAAAGACTTACGAAAATGAAAATATGCGGTTTTCATTTAGATTAAACATTCTGTATTATAAGTTGTTCTGTTTGCAAATTTATTGCTTATAGAGGTATCTATTGTACCTCACCATGTTGGGAAATCGTGTGACTGTTGACACTTTAACCATATTGGTAGTAGTTAGCCACTTCCTCTAATGGACTAGATGGAAGGGAAAATGCAAATACTTTACTACCTCTTCTTTTAGTGACTCATTTGTTCATGTAAGATGCTATTTAGGTGTCATGTAGTGTACTATGTAATAATTTGGTGTACAAACTGTTTTGAAATTCCATGTTCCACATAGCCTGTTGAAATGATCTTGTTCAAGTTTGATGTGCTCTAATTCAGTTTTTAGATGCTTTTTGAACCCCATTTTTCAGGTATTTGTGTACGTCTAGTCCTAATGCTTGAAAACATTAATTTTACGGAATTCATAGTAATAGTATTTTTAAATTTTTTGTGTGTATTTTAATGATTATTTATTTCTCCATGTTCTAATTTTCTTTCAGAATCGCAAACGACATCGTTCACGCAGTCCAGATTCAACTGCCATTCATAATCGTCACTCTCATCGTTCTCCATCTCCATCTAGGAAAAAGATCCATTCGTCGGATTCAGCCTCCAGAAGTTCAAAGCGAAAATAATTATTATCCCAAGTGTTTTGCACAGATGGCGTTTAAAGCCGCACCGTTGTACAGTTCCTAATCTTTTCTCTAATTTTATGGTCTTTTTTCTTTGTGTTGGAGCCAAATTATGATGTAGTATAACATTTATCTTCGAAAGTCAATAAATTATGATCAAGTTCATTAAAGTTTTTAACCGTCGTTTGAATGGGTTGTCATCGAATTCACTGAGCATTGTTGTGTACATAATTGTTTCGTTCAAAACTAACAGGTAATTCGCTATTCTATGACACTTTTAATACTGCATGGACACTTGGTCGTTTACTTCAGGGGATAATGGTGATTTGAATATCCAGAAGTTGTATTCTGATTATAATTTGTGTGATTTAATTTGACGTAATCGCTTCAGTGAATACTAGGTGTTTGAAATGTGTTAGGTTCATATGTTCCTAGTATTTCGTCCCTTAGTTGTGATGTTCTCTACACGAACTTGCTTCGTTTTTGGTAGAGCATGCTTTATATTTATTTTACTGACTACTGCAAAACAACTTCAGGGCAAGAAAACCTTCGTAAATATGAATGTCAGTGTCTTGTTGACATAGTGTATTTCCAGGCTATCTGCTTTACTGTCGTGAACTCAGTTTGCTTAGCAGGATAAAGTGGTCAGACTCTGAATTTGTGTTATAGTTCTCAAATTCTTTCTTGTTTTAAGTTTTTAAATATTCACTTACCACTGAATGAGTAACTGAGGACATCAACTATGCAATCCCTGTATTTTCATTTGGAGTAAAGCATGCTGAATAATATTTCGTGTTCTTTGATTACTTCAATTGAAATTTAGCCACTAAGTGTTCCCAAGCAACTCTAGCTTACTGACACGAAATAATGCAGTTGACTGAATATTTTCATCAGTCTTTATCATCACTTGTTGTTACTATCATTGTCTAATGATATATTTGTACGTTGCGATGATTCGTGTTATTTGTTGGCTTAGTTATATTTTCAGGACACTATCATCTTAACTTGTTCAAATTGCTGTTCGTAGTTTGTTGTTGTGGTCAGTGGCGTGTGTGCATTTAAAATAATAATTTAGTAACTTACTTCAATTGTAGTGACTTACAAATATAGTAATGTTGTAGGCAATCAATTTTACATGAATCTGTTGGATATTATTCATCATTTTGAATTGAAGCTTTTCGCCTCGTCGTATAAAAGTAATGGCAGTAGGATGCTGATAAGGCCCAAATTAGGACGCATGACAGGCGTTGTTAGTTTTTCCGTCTGTTGTTTGACGACATACCGTAGCATACATAGGGATAACATTAAATTCATTATTTATACACTACTAGCCAATCCTTTCGCCTGCCTATTTTGAGTCTGCAGGGATTTTATGGGAGTAAGACTGCAACGGGAACTAAACTAAGCATGATTTGTGGAGGACTGTATTTAGCGTACGTGTTTTCATCTTTATAAAGTAAGATGTGAGTTTCAGTTATTTGATTGTCTACCTCAAAAATTGCAGCAATACATCCCCAGATCAAGGTCAATACATAGATCAGTTGTGCTGTGCATTTCCTTTTTTGTCTTTCACATATACATATTTACTTTCCAAAATTTATTTGTTTGTTTCATTAGGTTTTCTGAAGATAACTAATAAAAATTTAATAAATTATTAACACCTCCTAAGGACAAGATTTTGGTGCAGTGACGAAAATTTCCGAAGAAATACCTTCTTTCTTTGACAAATCCATGCTTTCGCGGTGAGCAACTTGTGAAGTGTTGACAAGCAGATAATACTATTGAGATGATTAACAAATATGACGAGATAGGAATATGTATAACGAATGTAGTAACTTTATTTCTGTTCCTCCTACTATTTTGTTATATGAGATTCCATGCGTGTAAATTTTGTAATCTATAGTATTCTCATCGATATAATTTTGTGATATCCAAGTCTCCGTTGTTTTACAAATGAAAAAGTTACCTACATTGTCAATTTGTAGTCATCCATTCTACCAAGCAGATAAATCTCTTGACATGATCAGTTTTTATGATAAAGATATTTGTTTCTCCATCAGTTAATTTGCTTTCGGTCTCAGCAGTGCGCGTAAAAGATCTCATGCTTCCAGCATCTCGTAATTAATTAGGTATCAGTAAGCTCAGTCATCATCAATTGGCTTTGAATTCAGAAATAGCTACCGGATTTTGGAAATAGAATATTCAGCTCGTATCGTATGTTTTAACCAAAAGTTTGTTACAAATACGTGGTTGATCTTTTTTCATTTCAATACGCTGGCTCAGAGGTGTGTAAAATAATACCTTGAGCTGGGAAATTTCAGTAGCGATGATTTTTGTAAACGGAATGGGCTTTCTAGCCTCACGCCCAACCTTCCCTCATTGTTGGGAACCATGTGCGTGGTCGGCGAGTATTCTACCGTTGAACCAACGGTGCTCATAGTCAGTGGGCAGAGCAATATAGCCTGTATTGGCCAAAATTTAATAATTGAAGTAGATTTGGCTGTAATATATTTAAACATTATGCCTCGGCTCTTGAAGTATCAACGAATCAGTTCAGTACCCATTCGAAACAAACTTTATGTGTTCCAATACGTAGCAATAGTCTTCCCGGCATTTATTTAGATGGTTCTGATTATTTATTCGAAAGTAATGTTATGAGTGTGAACAGGTTTGTTTACTAAGTTAATCACAGGGAATTCAATCGGTGGACAGTATTCATAGTTTTGGTGGGTTGTCATAAACCTAGTTTTGCTAAATATATTGCAAGGTATTGGCCTTTCTGAAGACTGCAGCATAGCTACCACATATAAAGCTTGGGAACATTCTGAAAAATAATAATCATTTAGTGGCATCTGTTATCTGTTCCTCATAACTGGCGGTTCACAACCACATTTACGGTGAATATTAGCCTTCATTGTTTGAGGAGACTTCTGGCAAATATACGATCAAACAACAAGTTATTCACAAGTAAAGGTAAAGCTGTTTTTGTTCTTTATTCAGTCTGTCACCATTGGACATCTTACAAGTAGGTTGCCTTGTATTCAACTACCTAGCTGTCTCGACAGTAATGATCCTGCAATATATATCCAATTTCGCATGAGCAGGTTGTTCTTGATTTGTCTTTACCGTTTTGTTTTCATGTCATATGATGGTGAATATTTTAGTAATTCGATGTTACCTCAGTTATGTGGACCAGTACAGATCGTGTTCAGAACTCTTCGATCAGAGAACCTCTGTAAATTTCAGCGACCGTGGCATACCTTTCTTAAGGTGATTCTCATCGCTACATCTTTCCTTTGTGTACATAGGTTCGGAACCACCGAAGTAAGAAGAAGCCTCTAGTTGTAGTTTAGTGTTTACTCCATCCAATTATAATAGCTTACGCGTAAATGCTGTTATTTCTTCTCCACTTTTAATGTACTAAATTTACTAATACATATATTTGAGAATCAAAAGGCATGCGAGGTTTCAGGAATGTCCACAAATATGCGTAAATTCAAAATAAGGCACTCTGACAGACTAGACGTAATGAATCACTTCATAGCAAGACAGATGAAAAGTAAATTGCAGAGTGAAAGTCAATTAAATCAGTGTAAAACTAATCGAATAATCTAAATAGCACCACAGGATGAAACGAATTACGTCTGTTCAAAAATGTCAGGTGGACAACACAAAAGAATGGTCTTTACATCGACGTTGTTGATGACGACTTTGTATTCATTTAGGGTACTGAAAAATTTATGACAACTACAAGACTATTAATTTTCATGTATCAAAAATAATTGATTGAATAAAGTAGAGAAAGGGATTCAGGTAGTCCTTGGAGCGATTCTAAATGTTTGAAAGGCTTTTGAAGTAAAATGTTGTGCATGCACTTTTGATCAGTAGTAGGAAAAGAAATACGTAATTAGTTTTACTACAGCTAATGAAAGCGGTATTTATACGAACGAATCATCATGCGACAGAAGCAAAAGAGATGTAAAAGGCATCGGTGATAGGTAACGCCAGACAAACAGGTGGCGAAGGGCAAATGATGAGTGAAACAATCTGTCAGAAAAATGGCACCCTATTTGGGTGTCAGGATAGACTACTGGAACTCCAGAAGGAGCATTTTAATTAGCCTACAGCCACGCTCAACTTACCCAGCATCCAACACCTGTCTGAACTTGATACAAACATAGGTCGTTTTTCTATCTGACGTAAGATCACTTGGGGAAAGAGCCAATCGTGGGCAAACGAAAACGTGGCATCAGTCAATGAAATCCACAAGAGTTAGTTCAAGCCAGTCAAGTAGGGTAGTGTTAACTTCCTGAATGATTGAGGTCCTGTGGATGGGAAAACCCAATGACTGTAGACAATTGGTGATATGCCTTGATATCGTTCTTAATGGGGGAGATGCATCCACTCTTTGTAACTTATCATATCCAATAAGACTGTTGTTCTTCCGTTTTACTACTCTTTTTGCCTCACACTTCTGTGTATTATGTCTCTTTTGAATCTCTCTTGACTGTGTTTTCTTGGTTTGTGTGCTACAAGAAGGGAGTGTGACAACTCGAAGTGCTGCACATCGGTGCAAAGTTCAGTGTTGAATCTAGTTAGCCAAGGTGAGCAGTATGTGAAAACTGATCTTCGCTACCGATTTTTCTATACTTTTGTTTTTCACCACATGTAAGAATAATGATATTTCTGTTGCATTTGCTACCGTAAGCAGGCCATCGTAAGGCGCGATGCATTGGTTATCTTATACCATCATGTCACATAAAGACACAAACTTCTAGTTTTCGAGTTATATATACTTATCTGAGTTGCTATTCAGGGGAGCTAATAACCTGAGTCGCTCAAATATACTAACTGTTGCACGAAATTTGTCCCACCATTCGGAATTTCAGTGTTTCGAAGATAGTACTCTTCAGACGATTTCGGAGTAGTTTCGTGAACCCTACAAGCTATTACTCGCTATCCTGTATCACTGTGAGACGTATTCCAAGGAGCAAAATAATGAACCTCAACAACTCGTTACACGACGAAAGAATCGTTTTATTAAATCATTCGAAATAGAGTGGTAAGCAGTATTTTATCTGTTCTGGATTCCAGAAACACGCCGAACATAATATAGTCAGCCAAAAATTAAGGTTAGTAACACTTAAGCATACTAACTAGTTCTCAGAAAACTCTGGTTTCCTAAAAATCATACTCGTAAAGGCTCAAGTCCTTAATAAAATAATATCGCTTCGCTGTCTGGTATCCAGAACCAACCGATATTGGTCTTGGTAACTAAAACCGGGCTAAATATCGATAAACCCGACACGAAGATAACTATAGGATATATAGAAATGGTGGATACGACAAGAAGGAAGTGAGCGCATGATATGCACCTCTAGTCCCAATAACTGCTTTATTATTTAAACAGAAAACTTGGAGAATATGGCACTAAGAAGGTGCGTCACACAATAATAATAAAACATAAATAAAAGTAAGAATATAGGTAGAAAACGGGTAAAGGACTTCGGCTGGAAGGAAAATAGTTCAAGCAGCAGAAATGGAAGAAAGTAGGGAACTGCAGCACGTTCACCATGTCCGACAACGTTTTTGGGCCACCGGTTGGAGCAATCTCTCGGACTCCAACCAAGAAATCATGATATATCAACCGATGCTAACCTAACACAAGTATCCTTCATCCCACGACGCCACATCACAATCTGACTTCCTCTCCGCTGTTTCTATCCATCCCAGGGCTAGCTAACATAGACCTGTACGGAAGCCTCCGGGATGACATTTGCAGCACATGCCTAAGCCGGTGTTCCCAGATGATACTCAACGAATGGTTGTCTCTGCTGTGTCCAAACACACGCTGCCGGACCTCAGGATTACTCACGCGATGATGCCATAGAACGCAAGCAATCCTGTGGAGACAGAGATGATCGAATACGCACAGTCGCCGCTTATCTTCAATTCGGAGAGGCCAGGTTTCACAAGCCTAGAGCAAGGCAGCTCGCACCGAAGCATTGTATGTCCGACCATTGAAATCCATGCTAACGGCGCCAAAGGTGGCTCAAGTTTACATATGCCACCTTAGCTTTCATGATATGGTTGGAAATCTCATCCGTCACCCTTCCGGTAGCATTCCCACAACTACCCAGATATACAGACTTACCGCCAACTCCAAGCAGTTCACCTGCAAGAGTGAGTGCAGGTACAAGTTCATTCCAATCTTGTAACAGTACTTTGCACTTAGACGGCGCAAACCACATTCCATACTTACTAGACACTGATTGCCAACTGATTAAGTGCGATTTGGACAGTCTGTATGCCACTGCACAGTAAGACGATGTCGTCTGCATACTCGAGGTCGAAAAGTCTCTTCAGGAAACAGTTCTAAACCACCTTCACTCACGTCCTTCAGAGCTGACTCCAGAATGTCATCGATGGCAAAGTTAAAGAGAAACAGGGAGGTTGGGCAACCCTATCTAACCCCACTACTGGTTGTGAACAGTGATGATCTTTGGTTGTATGCCCTCACTCTACCTTTCAGCTTAAATGACTGAGTGTACTTGTACGTAGATATAATAACACTACATAACCAACAACTTAACTGGTATCTGTCTGTCTGTTTCCGACATAGAACTTTGCACAAATGTGCGGAAGTTCAAGTCGCCACACTCCGTGTAGCACGCGAAGCAAGAGAAGAAAGTACAAGAAAAGCATAATAGAGACAGTGAGCAGAGGTGTGAGACAAAAGGAGTAATAAAGAAGAACAAAACAGTTTCATTGGAAATCATAAGTCACAGGGAGTGGATGCATCTGCGCCACTGAGAACGATTTTGAGCCATGTCACCAATTGTTTCCAACCATAGATTTTTACCGTCCCGAGGACCCCAGCCTGGAAGTCTACACCTTTCTACGTGGCTTAGACCAACTGTTGTGGATTTCATT